TTTCGCTGGGAAGTCCTCATCCGCCGTATTCGCCGGACCTCGTACCCTCAGGTTACTACTTGTTCCAGGCGCTACAGAACCATCTAAAGGAAAAACGCTTCGATGATCGTGAGGGAAAAGGACCTGAGAACTTTTTTCAAGTCGAAATCCCCCCAATTCTATGAAGATGGCATCATGGATTTGCCCCGTAGATGGGAATACGTTGTCGATAATGATGCCACATATAAAGCTGATTGATGTTCTTTTTTTTTCAATAAAAAACGGAAAGTGAAAATTCCGACAAGACTCATGTACTAACCTGATAGATGAGTGTACTCGAGTCTGAGTACCGTGAATGCTTTATCAAGTGGGTGATAAGGATGCAGCTGCGTCTAGATGATAAAGGGAAGTGTTTTCAAGGAAAATGGTATGGTATCAACTTCGTAGCATTTGTATTTTGGAAAAAAAAATATTTTTGAGCACTCCACCCCCTCTTACATAATTCATTATTGGTGCAAGAGAAAAATGAAACTCCGATCCACCTCGCCATATCTGTTCCAGGTTTTACAGATTGCATAGTACTAGCAATAAGGCCCAGGAATGTCGTGAGCAATCTAGTCAGCACCTTTAGATTGGGAATCCAGCTCGAGACATGAAATAGAATGAATGGGCCTTGATAGCCGCCCATTGCCTTTCTTCAACCCCTTCCTGCGACAAAATTCAACCGTCTCGTATTCCCCTCTGAGAGCATTATCAGGAATAAAATTGGGCATACTTCTTCCTCTCTCAACCCAGAATCGCTCCAGCAAATTTGAAGTTCCATCTGCCCGGGACGGTGGAGATCACTGAATCTCGCTTTTCGGAAATGTGAATTTCGTTCCGGTATAAATTCCCCCCCCCCTGGGTAGCCGCTCTTGGGAAGTTTTTGGAGGAATGAGAACCATCAAACGAAAGATATTGACTTGTAGGTGACAAGAAAGGTCCTTTTTGTTGCTTTCAGTGGACCATTTCGCCATTTAAAAAAAATGAAATCAGATGCCGTTAATTTAGGCTTTGCGCGATGACTCCAATCCCGTCCTCCAGTGTTGCCGGATATCGTGCCTTAGTTATGCCAGATTCATGACTTCTTCGGCCTTAGTATCGTTGTCTGGATCTCTTCTTTTTAATGTAGGAGACATTATTGAGCTGAGCTCATGGGATGAGCTGAGATTGAAACGATGGTTTGCAGAGGCCGATGGATTTGGTGGAATACGGAGATATCCGGACGTCCCTAAATTAACACGATGACGGACAGCTTGTATGTCTTGTGCCCTAAAAGCATTTCTTCTCGGAACGAGTTGAGACGGTTCGAGGAACTCTGAATGGGCCTAACGTTCCCCGACCGCTCTAAAATGGTTCATGAAACTCGAAAAAGGCCTACATTCGGTCTAACATTAAAAGTTCTCTGTTAAATGGACCACGAGAGACTGAATAGGGTGACGATCGACTTAACGTTACACGTCCTCGACGAGGTGTCTCGAAGACCAGGGATTAATCCTTATAGGCCTAATCGGTCCGTAGGTCGAGAGGATCTCGATCCTCGACCTACGGACGAACGAAACCTTTTTTATTTTGAACGAAAAAAGGTAGGCCTAGGCCAGACCCGAAGACAGTCCGTCGGTTAGGCCTAGGCCTAACGTTAGTGAGTTCCGTAGAGAAGGGGGGAAGGTGGGGTTCAGATTAAAGAAAGGTAAACCTTGGAAAATTGGTTTTCACATTACCACATGAACAATTACTTAACCCTTCTCCGGGCAAGGGGTATATACCCAGGGTATATTTCATTTCATTACTCTCCGCAATTTTTTCAAAATATTCTTTAAATTTGATATGTGTTACATAGACAATCATCCACAGATTCAAAAACGAAATTTTGAAGTTTGGATTTGCTTTTAAGGAAAAAATTCTAAAAATGTTTGACCTTGCCCGTTTGTGTCACAAAAATATCTCGCCCTGATAAGGGTTAATAGAATAAATCGATGAGTGATCTCACAGAACCTTATTGTACACTATGTTCGAAGTATAAAGACCAGTTAACCCAATAAATCTTCCTCGACTGTCACTATAAATCATTTCAAATTTTACATCATCAAGTCGACGAACCCTAGAAAAAGCAACGTACAGTTGACCATGGCTAAGAGCAGGTGATGGGAGGTAGAGTCCAATCTTGTCAAAAGTTTGTCGTTGGTCATCACGAACGAAAGTCGTATCGGAAACTGCCTGCGCTCGAGTACAAATGCGAGAGATCTGTATCACTTGGTGCAAGATGAACACACGACGTTCACGACCTTCTCCCGTCAGGATCTCTGCGCCGATTAAATATGCATGCAGACCTCGAACATCCATCTTTGTTCCGTTGAAGAGTCCTTTCTTTGTATCGGGACTGCGGAGAAGGATAATTATAGTAATTCCCAACTTTCAGGTCGAGCTCACGAAGTGGCATCCCACATGGACATGAGGAGTTAACAAGAAATTCCATCGGATAATTAATGGCTTCAGCTGGATCATCGCACACGACTCCAACTAAACTCTCGTTAATGTGTCGCGACGTGCTCAGTTTCTCGAGGACTTCACTGTTGAGTTTCTCACTGTCGTCATTCTTCGGTGTCGAGATCGCTTTCGAAGCGTAGGACGTAACGTGATCCGAAATTCCACTAAAAATGATCTCGATAGGTACATCGGCAATGCATCGGTTAGGAATTCTTACCGCATCCTCCGATATCTCTGGGAATGTTTCCAGATCACCACGACCCAAATTACGAAGCCATCGTGCGAACTCCTTTTTCGAATCGTCTGCTCTTGCGTTACGATGCAGACGTAGCTACGTGAAATATCGATGTTCGTTCGATCGTTGAAGAAGCAGTAGCCACCCGTTCTCCCTTCCGAACTACGGGCTGAACCTGACGGAAACCCAAAATATGTCCCTCCAAATCGGGTGTGCACAACATGCGGACCGCTCCATCCGTGGCGTTGCAAGTGCTACTGAAGCTCCTGCCCTGTTGGCTACAGCTACGATCAGCCAGACTACGGCCCGCGCGGTAGGTGAGTCTTTTGAGTTTTGCACCCCTGCTCCAAACGGTATGAAATTTTTTTGCGATGCCTCTGCGCGATGGAGAAGGTTGCGACGCTCGACTCTTCCTGGAAGTTGGAGGCGATCCGGTCACCATCCTCTAACCGGCTACGGACACGTTGTGAGCGTTTTCGAGGAGTCGTCGATTCGCTTTCGCGTCGTCTAGTCATCGACGGCAATCGTCGCGTTGGCGGCGGTCGTCCTGGTTGTCTTCCAGTCCGGTCGACGTTGTATGAACTGAAAGTTGGAAATAAACTGAAAATATACTAAATTCTAGGACACTGCACGTTTTAGAGACTTTTTAGACATTTACATGCATTTTGCATGATTGAAAATTCAAAAAGTAACTTTTTGACGAATTGGTATTTTTTTTGGAAAACCACTTCATGTCGAGTCGATTGACACCTGGCTGATCTCTCTGTCATGTTCATTTCTCTGGGAGTGAGAGTGACGAGTGGGTATTATATGTGTAGATGTTCGTGGAATGAATGAACGCCCCAAATCCCTGTATCGTCGATCTTTATCGATGCCAAAATAAAGGATGATTCTGAACTTGGGTGCACCACAATCTAGCACGAAAATTCACCGCAGCCGATTAAATCAGCGATAATAGTCTGAGTACGCCAAGGAGACATGGGGACATCACTCGAAAGAAACACGTGTATCGTGGGGGGTACTCTTAACTCTTACTCTTACTCTTGTCATTTACGTTCAGAGCAGTGCTGCTATTGCATTCTATCATTAAAAGCACCCGTAAAGCACCGACAAGCAGTTTTTGCGAAGTGCAGTGCAGATATTGCTTTATAAACAGCATGCAGCGCTTGTGCAATGTTATCACTGGAATGGATTGGAAGCAAAGAAGGTGCTGCAGGCTGAGCCCTTTACACGTTCATCCAATAGTGCAGCCCTTATGCATGGAAGAGACATTACGTCATTTTCATACATGAGAGCTCGCAGCTCAGGAGTTTCCCCTATGGGATGTTGCTTTCGCATGTTTTCTCCTGTCGTCCTCATTCTATAATTGTATAATAGTTCCACGGTGCTGCGGGGCATAGTTTCCGTGCACCGACTTCGTAACGACTCGGTAAATAGCGTCGAGGGGTTCAGGTCATTCCTTCCGTGTGTTAACTGTGTGCTAACTGAGGATCACAACATGTATTCATTCTTCCATGGAGACTTATTCGATAAAGCAGCAATATAAAAACGGGATCCGAAAAATTACTTAACGGATTTGGAGAGCAGAATGAAAACGATCTCATATTTTAGGTGACGATGTTATATGATGAGTTAGTCGAACGGAATTCTGTTGGCACCTTTAAGAACGAACATTTAATTTTTGTGCCTTCGGCAATGAATTTGTAGTGAAAGGATCAGGAAGCGTTTGCAATTACGCGTGTACGAATGATAATTTGATCTACTGCATCTTTCAATCAGTTATTGTTGATTAAACCGGCCCCGTTCTTTTGTGTCTTACTTTAGAATGCCGGGGAAACAAACACCAACGTAGCAATTCTTTCATGGCAGTTTATACCGTTAGAAGTTCCAAACTAGTTGTGACCATGTCTGCCGAATGGCCTTCGATGTCCAATGCCAATCTCGCAACGAATTCATTCCAGGAATTTATTTCGTCTCTTGGTGCGAAAATGGATAACTCCCGAAAAGGGGGAATTCAATCAGAATTTACTTTCTTGCCGATGAATTGAGATTGCGGATTGTTGCAACGGATGTATTTTTAGGAGTCGTCGCCACGCTACGGTGAGAGTGAAAGGGACGGTACTCCCAGCGGAGGCTGGATGAATCCGCGCTGATGGTATGCATAGAGGCGCGCATGTCCTCATTTCCAGATATCTCGAACGAAGAGCCAACTGGGGCTCGTGCACCTGCATGTTTCGCAGGCCTATCAGATAGGGAAGGCCTTGGACATCGTATCGGAGTCTTATCACGACGAGTGTTTTACACGAGATAGGTGCCCAAGAGAGAGGAAATTTCCACTCGTTCCTATTCCGGCTTCGCAGAGTATCTTCGTCGGAACGAGGGAGCGAAAGTCCCCCCGGGGGAAATCGTTCCGTGACGCAACGAGAACCGAGGATACGCTCGGAGTAGCCGTCTGAGTCAGTGTAACGACCCTGTGAGAGTCGAGATGCCTGTCTCCCGCGGTCTCTGGTGCCTTCTCTTGTGCGGCCTCGCCTGGAACCGGGTGGAGGCGGATGCGGAAGTGAAGAAAATCCAGGTTTTCGAGACGTCGAAGGAGGTGGAGCTGCCATGCAGAGCCCTGTTCGAGTCACAAGGACAGTTCCAGCTTTCCTATTGGATTCTGAACGACAGAAGCCAACTGGACTCCAAGAAGTTGGAGATCAGTACCAAGTATCGCCTTCCTAATCCCCAAGATGGACGTCTTCAGATACTGGTCTGCCCTTCTCTCTTCCACATTCGCTATTCTCGTTTCGAGGAATTGCGCAAAAATTACACGTTAAGGAATACGAAGATGAAAAATCGAGCTTTAAACACCAGGCGGTGGAAGGAAAATCAAGAATGAAACCTTTTTCATGAATGAAAAAACCGTAACCCGAAGTAAAGAACGAAGAACGAACGAGGTGTGAACGATGAAATCGAAAAGAATTGGCCGTGAGAAGTTCAGATGAAGTCATTGTGTACTCGCACGCAGAAATGAGTCCTCTAGTTTATTATATAGGTCTTAATTTTTTCTCGAACCATGATTAGAACTAGAAAGAATGGAATTCCGATTTGTTGTTGCATTGCTCGACCGTAACCTAATAACCTAATATCTATACCAGGACACTGTCCCGTGGAGAGATAAAACCGGTTTTCTGCTTCCAAATGCGTCATCGCTGCAAACACTGCAGTGAGACATAGCAATGGAATGATAGATACGACGTCCTTGGAATCTTCCGCTGAAGAATACTGCGCGTGAATTCCTGGAAGCTACCTCGATATATGAATAGCATTGCCCGGGGCATCGCTTTCTCATTTAGAAGAGGAAGCAATATAAAAAAAGGGTACTCGTACAGGGGAAACCCGTTTGCGTCAGGCCCGGTTTGCCCTACAGCACTGTTCTCGGCAGCTCCAAGCAACTCAGGTTTTTACTTTAACACATTGACCGCGGTATACTGCTTAAGCAGTACCCCAGTCTAATGAGTTTATATGGTCCATCATTGTATATTCAACGCTGTTATAATGTTTCTTACAGCGTAGTAATATTGTAATAGGATGACTAAAGCTATTGAATGACTCAGGGTGAAGATACATATATATAAATTATAAAATAAATTATATATATCTGCTATATCGTTTTGTTGCAGGCAAAATATCTAGAAAAAGACTCAGTTACCTTGCCTTTGAAAGAATGAACGTTATGTCAGATGATGAGTTGTTTGAAGGGCCATTATAAACTGTTGTCTATAACACTGTGTGGTTTCAGTTTTGTGACTTTTGGGATGTACTTGTACTTTTATTAGATCAGTGAATAAGAAAGTTACATGCGAGTAATTTTACATATTACAATTTGTTCGGTGTTATTTTTTTAAGTATTTTTTTGGTTCACAATCGGTTACAATAATTTCGGTGGAATTGTTAACAACAGCATGCAAATGACTTTCAGAATGACTTCCCTATATCAAACTCACCTTAAAAAAATAGGCCTATAAAAATAGTTAAATACGAATCATTTTTGAAAATGAAAAAGAAGTGTACGCAAAAAATGCGACATTCATGCATAACGTACGCGTAATAAAAGCGTCAGCGGCGAATGTGCTAATGACGATTCCATTGCGAGGTTTTTTGAATAAAAATGATTAGGCTTCTGACGCTATTGCCTGCTGAACGTGTTAGCACGAACCTACCTATAGCATTTAGGGGGGAATGCTGATGCTTCAAATTCTACCTGCGCTCAACTGTAGTAGCCTTAACAAGAGTTTGGATTTGAAGACTGGAAGGTTTTTTGAGATGTAAGCTTTCGGATTTTAAGATACATAGAATAAAATAAGGTCTCCAAGAAAAAGTTTAAGAATTGAAAAGGATCCACGTTTTTTCCCCCAAGTGACTCATCGTTTTTAAAGTAGGCTGACTTCCTCATTCGTTCTGGCAAGAAAGAACGCACGCGAATTACATAACGATGATCCGGATCCTTGGGTCTCGGATGTTTGGTTTCATTCATGTTCTGTTGAGGGAAAAGAGAGGCCGATGTCTCTCCCCCCCTCCCTTGGCTACGCCGCTGAACGATGATAAATATGAGGGAGTTCACCGAGGGGGCTTTCACTCGCTGCCTTGTTTGAGCAGTAGAGGGAGTAGCACTGCCAGTGTTGGATGCCTGCGATACGAGAGGAAATGAACACAGATTTCTGGACTTATATCTGAAGTCACTCGACTAAAGCCTCTTACACGTTGAAGGCTGCGTCAAAGGGAAACGGGCTGCATGACGCAAACCAACCGATTAAAGATGCCATGCCAGATAGGAAAATCAGTAGAGAGAGAGAGAGAAAGCATGAGATATCCCCCTGACCCGAGAACGACTCCCTCTGCCTCTCATTGTTCCGGCAAATAATTCATGAATTTAACGTGCAGGGTTGCCAGATGCGAACAGCAGTTGCTGGTAAAACGATCTCACTTCGGACGAATCGGTTCGCTAAGTTCTTGCCATTGGCCATGGATTCATCGCTCTCTTTGTTTCCCATTAGGATGTGGCGATGAAAGACGCTGGGATGTACACGTGCGTCGTGGAGCTTGAGTCGAATCCTGCAATCGCGAAGACCTCCAGGATAGATCTCAAAGTAATCGAAGAGAGGAGAGAGACGAGAGAGGGGGAAGACCCCGCGAACATCGACGAAGCCGTAAGATTCGTGTCATCGCCTTGTCGATACAGAGCAGTCGGAAGCTCGGGAAAGTTCTCACACGACCGAGCACGATGAATGTAACCGTGTGGAACCTTTTCACTTTTTATTGCATTCTCTCAGCTTTTGCTCCTGCGATTCGCAAAGCTAAGTTTGTTCTGGACTCGAGGTCCAGTCTGTGAATGAGAAACTCCAGTTTCGCTACATGTAGGGCTGTGAACAAAATTCCCCTTCCCTTCTCTGTCCGTAGAATTTCGATGCATGTTTGGTGCACTACTTTTAGGCTCTCGATATTATTTTCTTTCCTATTATTTAAATGTAAACTTCGCCTTTTATCGGCAGGAAATGAAGCTAGTCGGCAAGGACGGGATCAGTCGCACGATGAAATGGTCCCCGAAAAGTTAAATTTAATTACGCATAATAAAGTAGACGGACATATACAAATTACGTGATGATTGACTTATTTGATGCCGAAACGATGCATTTTGGACGATGTTTTAGGAAAAAGCTATGTGGGGGGCGATAGCTGCAGGGAGCTTCGCAGCCGCCGTCATGCTCATCTGTCTCGTCTACAAATTCCGATGGAAGGACCCGAGAACCACGAACACCAGTATGTCCCTTCATCGATTGCACTGTCATTCTTATCGATATTTTCCTCGTGTCTTTTATTGCACGCGGATGCGATCGAGGTCGTACACCCCATCTGGGTGGAGAGGAGAATGCCGGAAATCGTATGGCATGGTGCCCCTGGCATCGACCGTCGTCACGAATATCATTGGATCTATCTGAATCGGGTCGTACCGTAGAAGTTCCATTACTCGACCCGATCGATGCACGAGGTCCAACAGTTACAGGTCAAAAATTGCACGAAGGCGATGAGACCGGGAAAGGGCGTCATAGCTAGGGGAGGTTGTCAAAAGATCCTACTCCATTCCTTCAGTTTACTTCTTAAGGTTTTTTTTCATCCAACATAGGCCAAAATGTGATTTAGAACTTGTCATAATGTTCGATCACGGCGAATACGATGTTAGACTCGGCTGTAGACGCATGCATTTCAAATTTCAATTCGATAAACCGCTTTTGTGCTTCCCTAAAGGTAAGGAGTTACAGCGGTAAACAAGTATTTTGTCTTACTCCCACTTTTTCCCGCATCGTTCTGGTACCATCTACTTTTTACGGTCACGGTTAGGGTTAAAGAAAGGGTTAAGGGCTTGGAGGAGCCCGGTGGATGATCAATGGAACCGATTTGCCTTAACTATCACCATGCGATCATTCGTCTTCGCACGGTTTCCAGTCTGTAACTTTTGACTCCGTGTGTCGAGTGGGCCGGGGTCATGGACATTTTCATTTTCCTACCGGAGATTCATATAATGATAACGTGGTAGACACGAGAGGGCGCTTTAGCCCATGCTGCTTTGAGTACCGAAAGGACTTACACTCGTAGGTTGCCTCTACGGTGTCGTCGCGAGAGGGTTCCATTGCAAAAGAAAAGAGAGCCGAATCGTCCACGCACCAGGACCGTCTTTTTCCGAAAGACTCTGCCAAATGTCGTTTCGATTTCTTTAATTCGTGGGGTGATATGCATACCCCCGTGCACTTGTTTCTTTCACCATTCCCTCGGTTCGAGGAACTGGTAGTAATTTTGCGTGGTTGTGTCCAGAGTACGGGACGGGGACGGCGGGTCTGACGAGCCCTGGGTCGGCGACCACCTACGACAACATGGCCCTTGACATCGATTCGGAAGGGACAAAGGACACGAAAGGCCCCGTCGGAGGGGAATCCTCATCGAACGATCCCGGCTACGAAAAATACTGAACGGATATCGAGACGATCAAATATCCCGTATTCTGTGATATATTGAGTGAAGAGACGCTTATATCGTAGGATTCATCCTGATGTGCGCATTCCCCTGTACCTGATGCAGGCATGTCACTGCATTCAAATCGCTCGAGTATAATTTCACAGACGATGTAGTCTCATGAAGTTATCTCTCATTTAATTCACTATTATGGGGAATGAATAATTTTTCTGGATGACAGGAAATATAAATATGTGATTTACCTATAATTAGTTTGGGTGCGTTGAACGTATTTCAAATTCTTCGAATTAAAACAAAAAATCAACTCAGTTTTTCACTTTAAACAAGCATACAGTCTCGTACTTTCAACAGGATGTGTCAGAAACAGTGAGACGGTGAATATTCAACCCCTGTCGCATCGTGCCCACGTTTTCGGGCATTTCTTTAAATTAATTTTACAGCCTCTATTCTACGCGACTTTTCCTATGGCATCGCAATTTTCAGAACAAAAAAAGTCCTGTCACTCTCCAGCGTCTTCCGCTTTTCTTTTCCCAATATGGCATCCTCTAATGACCCCAGGGAAGTGCTCCTTTCATCATTTCATTTTGCTATGCATTGAACGATTTTTGGAACGGTTGTAAAAGTATTGGAGTGCATTGTTGAGTGAACGCACCTGCCTCCGGAGCAACCACAGACTATTCATTGGCATGTCATTGGCTACTGTAACTCCCTGAGCTCGTTTGTCAAAAAACGTGGACACGATGCATTAGGGTTTACATAATCTCTTAGACGTCGCACATGGACATCGTGCATGAGTCCAAGTCGACTGTAAAGGTCTAAAAGTGCCGTGCACATGGCGACGGTTCTGTACATCGCGTTTGAATCCTCCTTCATCGTTCCTCTAAGAAGGAATCCTGAGGTACGACGTTTTACTCATGTTTTGGTGCATTGTGTTTTCGGGCGCATGTTCCACCGATCAATGACCGCTTCATATTGCTTACTTGCGACATGTTTGTTACTGTAAAAGTAATATTTTTCATCGACTCAATGCATGTACTTAGTGAAACTATCAATATCCAATGATACACTCAGAATTTGAAAGTATTTTTTCAAAACCAATTTTGATAAATAAGGTTTGTCTGGGTGATGTTTTTGTTAAAGTTACCATCCATGGGCGTTTCATGGTCCATCAAATTACGGTTGATTCAAGAAGGAAATCCCGTTTTTAGTACTGGCTAGTTTTTCATCTTGTCTATTTCGTCTTATTACCATTCGTCCCATTATTTACCTGATTATTCATTCCTATACTTTTTTGCTGTACCGTTTGTGTACTTGGATGCACGAGAATACAGAGGCATTATCATTGGTTTCCTTTGTTTTCGGGAAGCGGATTGAAAATGTAATGTCTGCAAAACGTGCTGATGTTATTATTATTCATGCACTCAGAGAAATTGGTGAATCCAAGTGATAAAACCCTTCTGTCGATTTTAGCATTTGATTAATTTTTTTTCTAAAAGGAAAAGGCATCAACTTTCTTCTCATCAGTCTCTTCCCGACCGTACCGGATCGCCTGAAAGGCGTCTGCAAAACCGAAATGCGTCGGTCTAGAGAGACTGAGAGAGGGGGGGGTTAAGTAGCCTTGCATCGTCGAGACGCATGTCTCTGTCTTCCACTTCATCATGACGAAGAAGGATCCCTCATAAACCCTAGGGGCAATGCATTGATTGTTGAGGGATTCACACGCAAGCGCGTGGAAGTGCATGGTCTCTTCGCCTCTTTCCTCCGGCCGGTGTTCGTAGTTCGTGCGTCTCGAAGGGATTCCAATGCGATCGCTTTATCCATTGTGGGCTTCGCGGCGGACCTCACCAAGGAGTGGAGGAGGAGCCATCCCCTACCGGACACCTCCCACCTCCAAGAGACCTCCCCCGGGCCGGGACAAGGGGGTGGAGGCGAGACCAGATGGTGGATGAGAGGCAGAGTGGATGCGATCGTGTGACGTTGTATAACGGTGTGTATTGTATGTCTGGATTGTATAGGGACCTGCAAATTATTCCCGTCGTCCTCGACTTATCAACTTCCCTCCTGCCTGGTGCCTGTAGACTGTACGAGTGAGTTGTATACATTCAATACTAGCAAGTTTGTTTGCCCTTCGGGCAAACAAACTCGCTATGGTCGCGCCTTCGGCTCTCCATTGCCTTGGATAATGTTTAATTAATTCATTTTTTGCGAAATGGGAAACACGATCGGCTCCATTTAGATTAATAATTGGCGTGGTCAATGAACCGGAAATAGTTCGGCCTGCTCCTCCCGATGGCGAAATTGTCAAACTAGTCCAATTCCCAACAGAAGGTTGAAGCAAAGCTGACAGGGGTTGAATATTCACCGTCTCACTGTTTCTGACACATCCTGTTGAAAGTACGAGACTGTATGCTTGTTTAAAGTGAAATGGGAAACACGTATTTAAATTACGTCCCCATTGAAATACGTGACATATGGGGTCGAAAGTCTTGATTTTTATCAAAATCATTACTTCTATGATTCTGTGTGCCTAAATTGAAATCCTTTCTTGTGTCCCTTTTTGTAAGGGTGGAAAATACATGTTGAAATACTTCCCTCCAATAATCAAAGCTAAGGAGACATATTTAAAAAGTAGGATTTTTCCTGTGCTCAGCCATCAGACAGGTACTTCTGAGGGAAATTTAAATGTTCTGTCTTTGTTTCGTTGGATCAAAAAAAATTCAGGAAAATGGGACTGAAAAAAGTGCCCTGATGGGTTTTAAGGAAAATTTTTTTCTTTTGAAATGTAGACTCCGGGAACTCCATGCCACCCAGTTTCAGCCTTATACGTTTCCCCTTTTTGCTGGCGGAAAATATGTATTTGGAAAAGCGACCCACCCAAAAGCTGTGCTCTGAGGAGACGGACAAAAAAAGTTGAATTTTTCCTTAAATCAACATCACGTCCGTTATGCGTGCGCCAGCTACTTTTCTATTTCTGCCCGATTCGGTAGGTTATAAAAAATTATTTGAAAACGTTACGTCCCCAAGAAATATGAACCCCAAAAATATTTTGGAAATTTGACGTTTGACATTTGAGCTCAGTGCGTCAACGNCCGTCTGCCCTTGGTGTGAGAAGAAGGAGACCGAACTGCACATTCTATACGAATGTGCAGGATACGAAGAATTGAGGAGAAAATACCCTTTAACCTGGAACCATAACGACCAAAGCCGCTACGAACAGCTACACTACATCATGGGGAAGGAAGAAGGTCAGCTGGTGTGCCTTTTGCGAGAAATTTGGCGGAAGAGAGAAGAAAAACTGACTAGTGAGAAAGAAACGGGAAACCATGTGACTCCCACATAGCAACTAATTTGAAAGAAGTGATTTAAAAAAAAAAAAATGAATGGAACTTTGAAGTGCTGTATTATGTTCAGAAGCACAGAAATAAACGTCAAACGTCAAACGTCAAACCAAGTTTCATCTTTCCACACTAGCTCAATGCGTCAGGACAAAAAAATACTTGAAAACTTCGGCCTCAAAAAAATATCCCCAGGGCATGGATCTAAAATTTTGCATTTTTCCTGATCTCATCGTCTTGGTAGGTACCTCCATGCCAGGTTTTAGCTTTCCATGTCTCTCCGTTTTACTCAAGCAAAAATAATGTTATTTTGGGGAATGAGTAACAGGACATGGAAGGCAAAAGAAGCCAAACAAAAGCCGAAGAATGGCCGGGAATTCAACCCTGACCTTGTGATTGCCGGTCAGATATACTACTACTACACCACCGAACACAGGACATCCAGTTCGTTCTCTGAATGGCATCCTCATCTGTCACAATATATATTTAAGAAAAACGTTTCCCCCCAAAATATGTACCCCCATGGCCTGTACCTCCAAAGTCGGAATTTTTCTGAACTCTGCATCCCAAAAGGTACACGTGTACCAAGTTTCAGATTTCTAACCTTTCTAGTACATGGTTAACATGTACCTCAAAGGTCGGATTTTTTCTGAACAATGCATCCCAAAAGGTACATGTGTACCAAGTTTCAGATTTCTAACCTTTCTAGAACATGGTTAGAATTAGCGTTAGTCACTCTCGATCGTCTATATATATTAGATATCCATTGTTATTGTTGCTGAACAGCCTAGTCCTTCCGAATCTCACTGGTACTTATCTAATTGGAGTCAGTCCGTATATAATAGCGCCCTCTTACGTACACGGAGAACACGCGATCCCATTCGGCGGCCTCGCCCACACCATCTTTCGAGCCCAGTTTCTATTGCGTTTTTATTTGGTTCCGTGTATTGGTGGTGCAATACGTATCGCTGGGAGACTAAACCTCTGAACTTAAAAAGCCTATGATATTCTCACAATAGGTTCATCTGACGCTAGAGTATTTGTAGCCTATCGCCTTGTATCAATAGGTGCTTCCGCACCTTCTCTCAATCTTAATCACCTCCCTTATCAGGATATCCGCCTTCGCATAATTCCTTTTTGAGCATTTAAGCAGAAAAAAAATTGAGTCTTCTCCGCGGCCTTTGAACAGTCACCGGAAGAAAATAAAAAAAATGTCCTCCCTTGGGGGTGTGAAAAAAACCAGATGAATAAATTTTTCAAAGTAGATTTCAGTACAGCGATTATTTTCCCCACTGAACCACAGTAACTGGGGGGTTTCGGAGAAGACACAATCAAGGGAAATATATGGATCGAAACTTGAGCCCTCTCTGTTGGTGACTTACAAATCTATGAAGTAATGTGTAAACCAATTTTCGACGGCTTTCCCTTTCTTCAACCCCCCCCCCCTCCCCCACCCTTCCCTACTGGAGTCACTAACGTTAGGCCTAGGTTTAACCAACAGACTGCCATCAGGTCACGCCACGGCCTACCTTTTTTCTTTTCAAACTCAATTCTCGAATTAGCCCTCTGTCGAAACTAAGTCGAAGCCGACTCAAGAACAACCTTCCGTTACTTATCCACAGAGTTGGATCTTCCAGTTGGCACCACCCATTCTCCTTCCCATGATCATCACATCACATTTTGACCCACCAAGACCTAACATTTCCAGCACTTTACGTCTCATCACTCTGGTCACTTTTTCCTGGTCATTCAATCGGTGAGGGCACAATTTTTTCTCTTGCTATATGCTCATGGAGAAGAAAATGGCTGAATCTTCCAACTGGAAGATTCAGCTCTGTGGATAAATAATGGAAGGTTGTTCTTGGGTCGGCCTCGAGTAAGTTTCGACAGAGGGCAATTGTGTCCTGGTTCACCACAGTTGGTGAGCGCCCGGGACGGTCCTCATCTTCAAAGAAGCGACACCCCATGGTGAAACGTTGCATCCACCTCCGAATCGTCTCGATAGAAGGGAACAGTCCCCTATGAAGACACTCAGATCCGATTAGATTAGAGTTGCAGACCGTCCTAGATGCTGTCGGGCAAAAGTGTAGAAGCTAAACGTACTGTTTTGGGGAGTCTGTCATTTCTGATCACGGTGAAAAACCAGGCACTCTTCTGTAAGATCCTGAGACACACGGAACCTGTCTAGAACCCTGAAAATTTCTAGGAAGACTGAGCTTTGATGCAAATCGAGGGTGTTTAAATAAACTTCTGTGAGGAAAAGAACACAATTTTTTTTAAAGGACGGTCATTGCTTATTGAACAGCCCTCGTAAACTGACGAGACCTGGTAAATATGTCAGTGTCGGTCGTGTAGACTGCCTCAGAAATGTCAAAATTAACCCTTTGACTGCCGAGGACTTAAATGCTCATCCAACTTCTCCTTACCAAGAACAGCAGGGGAAGTTCGTCGCGCCGAACACGTCAACTCGCATGGGTTGCGGTGTATGTGGAATATTATCGACAAAAGCTCCAGGAATTCATGCAGCAAGAACGTCAACAATCACACGTAAATGTTGACAGGATGTGGTTTAAACAGTATGGTGTTACATGCAGGTGAGACCATGATTATACTCATTGCCGGCCATGTTTCACGGTCTCGTCATTCGAGGCAGGGATGATGTTTCTAAGCTTGCGAAATCACCTCATCCCACAGTCACACACTTTTGTTGGTGGGGTTACTTGAGGTCCAGGGTATATCAAACGGTCTCGGATCATGCTTCTATTTAGGGAAAATATCGGGGGAGAAATTCGGACCACGATCTGGTCACTTCGACGACAGTTACAATGTGATCATCTGAACGAAAGGGCAAGTAAGTCGCACGAGCAGATAATTTCATTGTTTTCTCGACGTAAGTACACGTTCCTTTATCATCTCCGTGCGTTGGTTTCCGTACTCATACAGTTTTAACTACGAGGGTTGATCAAAAAGTTCGTATTTTGACCTATAAGGATTTATGTATCGGCTCGAAATTTCAACAGCCTCTAGTATAACTCTTTGTAATAGTGTGTACCAAATTTTATCATCGGAGATGCCTCCTTTGCTAATCTCGTACGGGAAATGAA